GATCGACATGCACAACGCGCGTGTATGCAGCAGCACAGTCAGCTGATACTTTAATGGTTATTTTAAAAGTAGCCGCAGTGGGGGCCTGCCCATTAGCTCAGTTGTTAAAGTTACTGCTTAAGCAAAGCAACCAGGATGCTGTGGTTCGATCCCCAGATCTTCAAGCCTTACCAGACCTACCCTCAAGGCATCCTGAGCCAGCCAAAAATAAAAATAAAATAATAAAAAAGTTGCCACAGTAAACACTTCTGAATGGAGCTTTTGGAAATTCCCCACTGTTTGGTAGAGATTTCCGAGGAAGAAATTAGTATATATTGTTAAGCTTTACTTACTTATACGCCTTTTAAGAATAAGCAACTGAGCCCATTATGGGGGCATGCGCCAGTCATCCCAGCACTCAGGAGGCTGAGGCAGGAAGATCATAGTGAATTCAAGCCCAGCCTAGAACACATAGTGATACCCTGTCTCAAAAATGAACCAAAATAAATACATAAATAAAAATAAGCATGGGTTGTCTTCGGGTGCAATGCAACGGATGTCTCATTTCCCAGGCTGGTAGTGCTAGCTGCACACTCCCTTTTCAGTTTGATGCAGCACAGGTTCTCAGACAGTAGATGAGAAATTGGAAGTAAAAGTCATTTGCTTGTATTTGAATTGTAAATTGCTTTAGTTACTTCACCCATATGAACATATATTAAGTACTGGTACCAGGAATCGAACTCAGGACCTGTGCTTGCCAGGTAGGCACTTATGCTGCTGAGCTGTCTCCCTGGCCCTCCTAAATTTTCTTAATATAGTAACACACTAGAAAAAGAATGAAATAATGTTCAATTTTTCCTTTTTATGGAAAAATAATTTATTACTTTAAATAATTATTTACTTTGCTCTGGGCCTTCTTGGTGGCATTTCCTTGTTTTCAAGTTTAATTTTTTTTTTTTTTTTTAATGTGTTTGGTACAGCGCGAACTCATAATGATCCTCCTGCTTTCAGCCTTCCCAGAACTGGGATTACAGCTGTGCACCACCACATCTGGACTCCTTAGTGGCTCAGCGTGCCCTGGGGGTGGGACGTAGATGGAACCCCGACCCGACCCCTGCGCTTGCCAAAGCAGGCGCTCAGACCACTGAGCTATCTCGCCAGCCCTTCCTTGTTTTCAAGTTTAGAAACACATACTCTTTGAGTACGATTAGAGCTAGGGCGCGTTTACTTGTAACAGTAATAACAACACCAGCGTACTGTATTTGTACTCGGACTTCTACCTGCGCAAATTTGTTTGCTTTTTTAAAAAATGTATTTCGTGCGGGGTCTCAGGCCCCCAGCACTGAGATCACGGGCGTGCGCCACCGCGCCGGGTCTCCTGGCTCAGCGTGCCCGGCGGGGACAGCACGGTGGCGCGCGGTGCTCGGGTGGAACCTCCCTGAGCTGTCGCCGCCTTTAGTTGCCTTTGAATAGGTCTGAGATAAGATAGTACGATGAATAACTCATTTCCGTAACCTGGTATGGTCCGTTCAAATGACTTAGCTATTTGTTCTAACGAAATCCTTTTCATTTTTCTTTTCTTTAAGCAAAAAGAAAATATTCGTCGCTTAACCACGCTTGGCCACTTCGGTTTTGAGTGTCTGCCCTACCAGCTGGTGAACAAATCTATGCGGCAAGGGTTCTCTTTCAATATTCTCTGCGTCGGTGAGTCCCGAACACCGCGATTTTCCTGCACTCACTTCCACTAACAAAGTCTGATATCGATACATTCAAGATGATTTTGTTAATGTTTGTATTAGTCTCCATCTTTTTTAGCCAGGTTATTTCAACTTTAAATTTAAATTTGTGGTTTTCAAAAGCTGACATAGTGTGCATTTTCTTCCCATGCTATCTTCTTTTTTATTGTTATTTATTTATTTATCTGGTACCAGGGATCAACACAGGACCTTGCGGTGCCAGGCAGGTACTTATGCCACTGAGCTATGTCCCCAGCGCTCTGTGCTATCTTAGTGACCAAGTCATAGCTGGCATATATATGTTCAGGACTATCTCAGCTTTGAAGTATTTGGGATTATTTATTTGAGATTAATATTTCCAATTAACAAATTACAACTATACACATTTATGGAGTACACTGTACCCCATCCAACATAGGATGGGTAAATCAAGCTAACTAATTAATAGTCATTTCTTTTATTTTTTTTTATTATACATTTCAAATCTGTCTGTAGTTCTTTCGAGATTTGCAGGACATTGTTAACTGTGGTCACCCTACTATACAACAGACCTCAAAACATATTCCTCTTGTTTGAAATTTCTGTCTTTCTATCAGTAACCCTTTAACAGCTTCTAACAGTCATTCTACTTTTTTTTTTAGGGAAAAGTACAGGGTGTTCAGGGTCTCACTTACTAGATCGGACCCATAGTGACCCACCTGTTTACAGCCTCCCAAGAGCTGGGATTACAGGCGCACCACCACGCCCAGTCTCACTTGCCCTCTCAGTAGGCCTCGGGGGCGGGGCAGCACCACAGGCCTGGGAACTGAACCCCCAACCCCTGCGCCTGCTTGCAGGCACTTTAATCCACTGAGCTATTTGGCCAGCTCCATTCTACTCTTTGCTTCTATGAATTGGACATTTTCAAAAACCATGGGACCCTTTAAGCCCCAGTGTTACTCAGAGTGTTCCTTCCAAGCCATGCGATCCGCCTGTGATGATGTGTCTGTGTTGATTACAGGGGAAACTGGAATCGGAAAATCAACACTGATTAACACATTGTTTAATACGAATCTGAAAGACAGCAGATCCTCACATTTTTATCCAAATGTCGGACTTAGAATTCAGACATACGACCTTCAGGAAAGCAATGTTCAGTTGAAACTGACCGTAGTGAAGACAGTGGGATATGGTGACCAGATAAACAAAGAAGGCAGGTGAGTATTTTCTTATATTAATTAGTTACAGTTTGGGGTTCTTTTGGTACCAGAAATCAAATCCAGGACCTTGCTCTTGCTAGGCAGGAGCTGTGCTGCAGAGCTTATCTTTTTTCCTAAATGGCAATATCTTCTAAGGTAATTACTTCTCCTTCCAGATTTTTCTTCTCTTCCCCTCTCCCCCTCCCCTCCCCCTCCCCCTTCCCCT